TCTCCCACGAGGGTGTATAGGCCCAGGCCCTTGGGCTATCTTCAGCTGCTTTCTCAGGCCATAGCAGAGAGCTGGAGTGGAAGTGGAGCAACTGGGACTTGAATCAGTGCCCATAAGGGATGCCGGCACTGCAGGTGGTGGCTTTACTAGCTACACCACAGTGCTGGCCCCAGAAAATTTTCAATAGACTTAGAATTTTACATATTTATGGGATAATATGTGATGTTTCAGTACCTATATACATTGCATAACAGCCAGTCAATATATACGTTGGCTTCTTCAAACACTAAACATTTCTTTATAGTAAAAACATATAAAATCACTTAAGTATTTTTTCAAATTAGATTTTTTTAAAGGAAAAAATAGATTTATTTTCCTTTTATTTGAAAGCATAGAGCGAGCAAGCGACAGACTGACAGAGATCTTCTTTCCTCTGCTTCACTCCTCAGATGTCCAGCAATCAGGACAGGGTCAAACCAAAGCCAGGAGCCTGGAACCCAATCTGGGTCTCCCTCATGGGTGACAGGGACACAAGTTTCCTAGCCATCATCTGCTGCCTCCCAGGTAGTACACCAGCAGGCAGCTGGGATTGGAAGTAGACTTGGGAACTGAACCCAGGCACTCTAATACAGGGTGTGGACAGCCTAAGCAGCATATTAACTGCTGCATCAAATGTCCAAGCACATTTTAAAGTGTAAAATTCAGTGGCCATATGTACGTTCACTGTTTTGTGCAGCTATCACCACTATCTAGTTACAGAACTTTTTCATCATCCCACACAGAAACTTCATATCTATTAAGGAGTCACTATTTATTTGCCCTCCCCTCAACCTTTTGATAGCACTAATCTGCTTTTTATGTCTATGGATTTGTCTAATACAGGCATTTCATAAAAAGTGCAATCATATAGTAGGTGACCTTTTGTGCCTGGCTTCTTTCATTTAGTATAACTTATTCAAGCTTCATCCATGTTGCAATAAATAGCAATACTTCATTCATTTTCATTACCAAATAATACTCCTCCATTATATGGATATACCACATTTTGTTTTTGTTTATCTATTTCTCATTTGATGGCCATTTTAGTTTTCAATTTTCACTATTATGAATATAGTGTATAATTTGTTTTTTTTTAAGATTTATTTATTTACTTGAAAGTCAGAGTTAGAGAGAGAAGGAGAGGCAGAGAGAGAGAGAGAGAGGGAGAAAGAGAGAGAGGCCTTCCATCCACTGGTTCACTCCCCAGTTGGCTGCAATTGCTGGAGCTGCGCCAATCTGAAGCCAGGAGCCAGGAGTTTCTTCCGGATTCCCCACACTGGGTCTCCCACACTGCTTTCCCAGGCCACAGCAGAAACCTGGATTGGAAGTGGAACAGCTGGAACTCGAACCTGCGCCCACACGGGTTGCCAGCACTGCAGGCAGCAGCCCAACCCGCTAAGCCACAGTGCTGGCCCCATATAGTGTGTAATTTGTAATGTGAGCATGTGCTTTCAATTTACCAGAGAATTGAATATGTTTGTATTTGTAGTAAATAGCTATGTCACCTGGAAACTCTATGTTTAGCATTTTGAGGAACTGTCAAACTTTTTTCCAAAATTATATCAATTTACAATCCCATTAACAATATATAATCTTTCTAATTTTTCTACATCTTTATCAAAACTTATTGTTTGCCCTTTTGATTTAATCATCCTAGAGAGTGTGAAGTGTATTGCATTATGCTTTTAACTTGCAATTTCCTAGTTAAGTTTAATATCTTTTCTTGTGTTTGTTGGCCCTTTGTATATCTTCTTTGGAGAAATATCTGTTTAAGTTCTTTAGATTTTCTTATTGGATAGTTTATCTTTTGTTGTAGATTTGTACGAGTTCTTTGTATATTTTGGGTACCACTTTCTTACCAGATAGATGATTTGCAAATATTTTCTCCCATTATATGGGTTGACCTTTCACTTTCTAATAATGTCTTGATGCACACAAGTTTGTCATTTTGATGAAGTCCAGTTTATTCCTTTGACTTTTGTTTCTTAGGCTTCTGTTGTCACATTTAAAAAGCTTGGAATTTCCAATTCTAAGACCATGAAGTCTTGCCTTTGTTTGTAAGAGTTTTATAATATTACCTAGCAAATTTAGTTCTTTGATACATTTTGAGTCCAACTTCTTTCTTTTGTATGTGAATATCAGGTTGTCCAAGTACCATCTGTTGGAAGACACAGATATTTGGGTTTCTGTATTCTCATTGCATGTACTTATAATGCTTTAAATTTTTCAGTTACTCTATTTTTGTTAGCATGTAACACTGCTTCTTTCACCTTACTTCTAACAGTGAAAGATATAATCCATTCAAGTCCCAGTGGTTCACTGAAGTAGCCACGCTGAGGGAAAGAGGGGGAGGAAGGGGGAGAAAACTTGGTAACACACCTTCTCTCTGATTCTCCCCCAACCTGTCTTCATTGACATTAAGAATGATTGGTTTAGGTGTGGATGTTGAACCCAGCAGTTAAGACAACTTCTTCCCATACAGAGTAACTGGTTAAATGCCCACTTCTGGCTCCTGACTCCAGCTTCCAGCTATTATAGACCCTACAAGGCTGCAAGTGGTTTCTCAAGTGGTTGGGTTGAGTTCCCACCTCCAAACTTCAGCTTAGCCCAGTCTCAGCTTTGTGGGCATTTGAGGAGTGAACCAGTGGATGGGTGCTTTCTCTGTCTGTCTTCCCTATCCCTCTGCAATAAATAAAAGAAAAAAAAATGATTGCTTTAAATTAATTCCATAAAATAAATGTACCACTTTGAATATTACAACTTTATATTTCCAAACACACAGTATTTAATCTAGTCAAAGAATTCGGTAGAGTTCTAATCTGACCTGTCTTTCAAATGTGAGAAATATATTTTGAAGATCTAAAGATTCAAGTGTTGAATCTTGTATTCTGTCATTCTGTAGTTTCTTAATTTCATATTCTCCAAAAGTGTTTATATTTTTGTTTACTCTTAACTTGAAAATACCCCATCCTCCCATTGTTTACTTCTACCAGTAGCAACGTGTCACTCTGAGACAGACTGTTGTTATGGCAGCTGGTGACAGTATAAACTGGTGAAGAACCACAGCGATGACCAATTTCCCTGGCAACAAACTGTCCATATGAAAACAGATCTATCCACTGCCGTCATCCCTACTGATTTACACAGTCCTCTTTAGAAAACATAATGGGCAGAATCAAGTCAGAAAGCAGGCTCCAGGACTGAAGTGGTCACAAATGAATGTAAGGGAAAAGAGAAAAGTGGGAATAGCAGAGACAGTGAGGATACTCACGTTACAAGTCAGAGAGGTTGTAATTAAAGTGGAGGGGCTATAACCAGGTAGAAAGTAAGTACACCAAAATTTAGATGTTTTGGTAATAAATCATTTAATTAGTAGTTGGCTTAAATGAAAATAGACTCCTGGGACCGGCACTGTGGCACAACAGATTAAAGCCCCAGCCTGCAGTGCTGGCATCCCACATAGGCGCCTGGTTTGAGTCCCGGCTACTCCACTTCAGATCCAGCTCTCTGCTATGGCCTGGGAAAGCAGTAGAAGATGGCCCAAGTCCTCGGGCCCCTGCACCCACATGGGAGACCAAGAAGAAGCTCCTGGTTCCTGGCTTCGGATTGGCACAGCTCTGACCATTGTGGTCATCTGGGGAGTGAATCATCGGGTGGAAGACTTCTCTCTCTCTCTGCCTCTCCTTCTCTCTCTGTGTAACTCTGACTTTCAAATAAATAAATAAATCTTTTTTAAAAAATAGACTCCTTTGGTTCTTTCCCTGGCTTTCCAACCCTATCTTATTAGTGTTCCTTCCTTATTTTATCCCAATACTAAAGTGTAAATTGGTAGAGTCTGAAATCTTGGCCCTCAGCTTTTTTTTTTCTGTATACTTTCTTAATTATGTTGATTTAGTTGAGGAGAGTACCTTAATTAAATGCAGCTCATGTCCAAATTAATCTCTGAGATATACTGTACTTATTTCAAATAATTTTTGTATTTATTAAAGTAAAAACAGTGGTATAACTGCAGTTTATGTACATGACATTCTACAAGAGGCCACCCTCACTACCAGTCCTTTCCATGAGCCTACCCCAAACCCTGTATTGGGTTTCTCAGAGCTGTACCCATGCAGTCATTGTATTTTCTATTGGTGTGCCAGCAGCATTACCATGGCCAGAATGAGAACAAATAGATTACTACTGATGTTTAGTTAACATTTTGATGTTGCATTTTCTTCATAAAGACACCAATGATCTAATGCTCAGTACCTGAACCGGGGAAACTTTTTTGAAAATTTTAAAAGAATTATTCATTTGAAAGTCAGAGTTACAGAGAGATGGAGAGAGAGAGAAAGAGAGGAAGATCTTCCATCCACTGGTTCACTTTCTAAATGGCCGCAATGGCTAGAGCTGGGCTGATCTGAAGCCAGGAGCCTGGAGTTTCTTCTGGGTCTCCTACATGGGTGCAGGGGCCCCAGAACTTGGGCCATCTTCCACTGTTTTCCCAGGCATATAAACAGGGAGCTGGATTGGAAATGGGAGTAGCTGAGACTCGAACCAGCACCCATATGCGATGCCAGCACCACAGACAGAGGCTTAAACTACTATGCCACAGCACTGGCCCCGGGGAATCTTTTTAATGTTTTATTTTTAATGATAATACTTACTTTCCTGGTTAAAAAATTCAGGCCTAAAACACAGGGTTTTCAAAATTGTAGCTTTTTTATTCATTTTTATCACAGCAGCATTTTTGGACCTTTATGCAGACACCTGTTACTCTATGGTAGGAGCATTACCCAGTGGGAATAAGTCTATGAATTTTATATCCATTTGGAGAAAGATGGTTTCAAAATGTGCCCAAGTTTTTACTTACATGATATATTGCAAGTACTTAATACATTTACTTCTATTAAGTGCAGATACATATTTAAATAAATCTGTGAATACAAAAAATAAATGTGTTTATTTTCCCAATATAGGGCATCACATTTGATGAATTCAGGTCATTTTTCCAGTTTCTGAACAACCTAGAAGACTTTGCAATAGCCCTGAATATGTATAACTTTGCAAGTCGTTCTATAGGCCAAGGTAAGTAAACATCTTTCAAAAATTAAAAGTGAAAAAAAAAATCCCATGTTATTTCTAAAGAGTTTGTCAACAAGTTAATTAGATATGTCACATTACCTATCAACTTACCTGAAAGTCTGATGATTGCAGTCTCAGTTGGAAATTAGTTCTGATACTTAAAAAGAACACTAAGCAAATCTGTATTTAGTGTAGTTTTACCTTTAGTTTTATATTATTGGTAAAAATTAATGATGTTTGTAAAAACTCAAAGAGGAAAAACCCTCATGACCACTTGGTAACATTGAAAGACTTACATCTATTTACAGAAGAGCAAACTGGCCATGCCCCAGACATTCTCACAGAAAGTGATTTGTTTTACTAACTTAATCCCTGCTGGCTCAGAAACCCGAGGTCTGTCAATAAAATCACTCCCAGGCATGGATTTACATTAACTGACCTTTGAGAATGAATTATAAAACTGAATATTGATTTTACTTAATTTACAAAGAAATAAGACTGTCACAGAATTGAGAATGCTGCTGTCCTTGAGACCAGCTCATTCTTTCTCAGTAGTTGACTAACAAGCTGAATCCTTTTTCTAGGATTCTTTGGCTATGATTACTTTCCCTCCCCTCATCCTTTTTTACAATTCTTACCATAGGGAGACTTTATGTCTTTAAGATGACTTTACCTTTCTCTGCTGTAATCCATTATGTGTTAATTCCCAAGATAAAATTTCATAAGGCAGTCTTGATTTTTTTTTATTACCGAATACAAGGGACAAACTGAACTGCAGCCCCGAAGTGTTGATGATCATAATCTTTTTCCTCAAAGCAAATACTGAATCTGTTGCATGACCTCATTCATTTATTCACTGAATAAGAGAAAACTGAAAAAATTTTAATTCACTCTTTCTGTAGTCTAAATGTTCAAATATGGCATCTTTTTCATCCATTTGGTGTTTTAAAATCAAAACTTTTGGGGGCCCTGCCTACAAGGGCCAGGCTTAATTACTGTGATAAATCTCATCAGTGTTTTTAACACAAAATTTTTATCTGCTTACTTCAGAATGGAAAGTTGCTCTTTTACGTTGTGTAGCTGGGAAATGAAGAGAAATTGCATCACTCTTGCAGATGCTAGGAATATATCTATCTCTTTTCATTTGTGACTACTACATCTTAATCTGGTTGTTGCATCTTAGCCACCTGAGTGACATTTATGCCACTGCTACTTTTCTTATCCTAGATAACTCACAGAATAATCTTTCTAAGACACAAATGATCCTTTCTACAACACTCCTGCTATGGAAACAAGTTTCCCGGTGCCTGTTGGTGAACATCCAATTTCCTCACCTCAAATTCCCTACCTAGAGCTTCTCCATATCCTATCTACCTCCTGTCTTCTACCCAGACTAGACTGTTGTTTTCTGAATGTTTTATACCTTCCTTTCTCCCCCAGGTTTTTGTTCGTTTATGTCATCTCATCTGCCACTAACCCATCTCTAAAAGCTAAAATCATCCAGGATTCAGCTTAGATACAAATTCGCAGTAACTGCCCATTTTCTCTTCCTATTTCCACACTACGGACAGAAGTAATCACACAGTTCCAAATTCTCCCAGTACTTTTTGGTACTTTGTGTGTGGCCCTGTATACAGTTATTTTGGAAGATACCTCATCTCCCATCTGAACCGCAAGTTCCTTGAGGACGTTTTCATCTTAACAGCCTTTAAAGTATGTCACTGATAGTATGCTCATTGAATATTCATTGATTATGAATGTATTATTAACCAAAGATACAGCTGCTTCTTGGCTCTTTTCATTAAGACTGTAAAAAGTTCATGCCCTTAAAAGACAACATTATTAATGAAAATTCATGTTACATAAGATCGTGATGCAAGTCTAGAGAACAACCCCTGCCTTTCTAGTAATTAACACGTTTTAAAAGTAATGTTAACAATCTATTTTTTTTTCTTTTGATGTGACATTTATCTAGATGAATTTAAACGTGCTGTCTATGTAGCTACTGGACTCAAACTTTCACCACATTTAGTGAACACTGTCTTCAAGATTTTTGACGTTGACAAAGATGATCAATTAAGTTATAAAGAATTTATTGGAATTATGAAAGACAGACTCCATAGAGGATTCCGTGTAAGTCTACAAATTTTAAGTCTGTTGATATTCTTTTTAAAATCTTAGGAAACAAAAATTGGAGCTGAGAAATTATATAATTTTTTTAAAAGATTATTTGAAAGACAAGGTGACAGCAGGAGATTTTTAAAAAAGATTTTATTTATTTGAAAGGCAAGGTGACAGCAGGAGAGAGAGAGAGTTTTTTTCATCCACTGGTTTACTCCCTGGATGGCTCCAGCAGCTGGGGGCTAGGCCAGGCCAAAGGGAGGAGCCAGGAACTCCATCTAGGTCTCCTACACAGATGTCAGGGGCCCAATCACTTGGGCCATCTTCTGCTGTCTCACAGGTGCACTAGCACAGAGCTGGATTAATGCAGAGCATTCATGACTACAACCAGAACTTGGTTATGGGATACCTGTGTCATAGGACAAGGTTTAAGCTGCTGTGCCACAATGTAACCCAGATTATAGATATGTAATGCTGCACTTGCAAAGAAAAAGGCCCTACTTGCTTTCAAAAACAATCTGAAGTGATAGAAGATAGTAAAAAGATAGAGTGCTTTTTCTAAGAATATAAAATATGACTTTTAATATTTATTTTTATATTATATTTATTTGAGAGGCAGAGTTACTGACAGAGAGGAAAAGACAGAAAGGTCTTCCATTCTCTGGTTCACTCCCCAAATGGCTGCAACAGCCAATTTGATCAGGAGCCAGAAGATTCTTTTGGGTCTCCTATGTGGGTGCATGGACCCAGGCACTCGGGCCATCTTCCACTGCTTTCCCAGGCGATAAACAGAGAGCTGGGTTGGAAGAGGAGCAGCCGGGACACAAACTGGTGACCATATGGGATGCTGGTGCCGCAGTGGAGGATTAGCCTACTACGCCACAGCTCCAGCCCCCATAATTTATATTCAATAACTTTTAAAAGATTTTATTTATTTTGAGATAGAGAGTTACAGACAGTGAGAGGGAGAGATAGAGAGAAAGGTCTTCCTTCCGTTGGATCACTCTCCAAATGGCCACAGCGGCCAGAACTGCGCCGATCTGAAGCCAGGAGCCAGGCACTTCTTCCCAGTCTCCCACGTGGCTGCAGGGGCCCAAGGACTTGGGCCATCCTCCGCTACTTTCCCAGGCCAGAGCAGAGAGCTGGACTGGAAGAGGAGCAACCAGGACTAGAACTTGGCACCCATATGGGATGCCGGTGCCGCAGGTGGAGAATTAACCAAGTGAGCCACGGCGTGCCCCTTTCCCCCAGTATTTTTGAAAACTATAATTGTACATTTCAGAGTTATAAGTATACAAAGAAACAGCACTATTTCTCATTTTCTATGAGACAGATTTCTTCTAGGCAACCTGGGGCCCTTTTATTTATTTATTTATTTTAAGATCTATTTATTTTGTTTGAAAGGCAGAGAGAGAGGGACAGACACAGAGAGATCCATCTTCCATGCCAAGAGCCAGGAGCCAGGAGCCTCTTCTGTGTTTCCCAGTTGGGTGCAGGGGCCCAAGCACTAGGGCCATCCTCCACTGCTTTCCTAGGCGCATTAGCAGGGAGCTAGATTAGAAGTGGAACAGCTGCAAATTGAACTGGTGCCCATATGGAATGCCAACACTGCAGACAAAGTAGTTTAACCCACTACACCACACTGCAGGCCTCCCGTTGAGGCTCTTAAGCCACTACATATTCAGTACCATTTAAATAGCAAATAAATTAAAATATTTTTTGTCTGTTCAACTTGTTTCCTGTTGACATCTTATACTAAAAAGCAATGACTAGAAATTCAATATATTTTTTTTCTAAAAAATATATTTTAAATATTTAAATATAATATGAATCAATAAATGTTTACACATCTAAAATATTTGTGGATGGCCACAAATGCAAAACAAAAAACTTTTCCTACAGTTAACAGCTACAACACCTAATTTTCTCCCTTTGGCAAGAATATATTACAGTATTACAGATTTTAAAAAGAAAAATGTATCCAAAATAATCATCTTAGTGATTCATCTTAGTGTTTCTTTAAAAGATTTGTAATGACTTTGAATCTGAGTTGTGGCTGGCAGTGTGGCATATCGGGTAAAGCCGCTGCCTGCAGAGACAACATCTCATATTGGCCCTGGTTCAAGTCCTGACTGCTCCACTTCCCATCTGGCTCTCTGCTATGGCCTGGGAAAGCAGTAGAAGATGGCCCAAGTGCTTGGGTCCCTGAACCGATTTGGGAGACCTGGAAGAATCTCCTGGCTCCTGGCTTTGGATCAGCCCACCTCTAGCCATTGTGACCATTTTGGGAATGAACCAACAGTTGGAAGACTTCTCTCTCTCTCTCTGCCTTTGCCTCTCTGTAACTCTGCCTTTTGAATAAATAAATATCTTAAAAAAAACAAGAAACAAAAAACAAAAACAGTAGTATAAAAAAATGCTGTGTCCTTAACTGCCACCTAGTGGTTAATTGTTAACATTTTAGATGATGTCAAAAATACCTGAAAGGACATCCATTGAAAGTCATTTATTTTTCCTCAAAAACTTTAGTGTAGCAAGATCACTTTAAATAGAAACTCTGATACAAACCTCTGATATAATATTGCTCTCTTAGGTGTTATGTGTTATTATTTTTTATTAATCTATTTACCTATTGATTTATTGCATACCTATGGCTCCCATAACATTTTATTTACATTTATATACTTTTAAAAGTTTTATATTTTTAATTCACAAATAATAACTACATATTTTGGGAGCATAGTTTGATGTTTATTGAAATAATTATATCAAGCTAATTAACATTCATCACATACTTTTTGTTTGTGGTGAGAATATTTTAAATCTATGTTTTTTAAGATTTATTTTATTATTTGAAAGGCAGAGTTACAGAGAGAGAGAGAGAGGAGAGACAGAGACACAGATATCTTCCTCTGGTTCACTCCCTAGCTGGCTGCAATGGCCGGGGCTGGGCAGGTTGAAGCCAGGAGTCTAGAGCTTTGTCTGGGTCTCCCACATGGGTAGCATGAGCCCACGTCCCTGGACCATCTTCCACTCTTTCCCAGGCACATTAGCAGGGAGCTGGATCAGAAGCACAGCAACCAGGACTTGAACCGATGCCCATATGAGATGCTAACACTGCAGGAGGTGGCTTACTCCCTGCGCCACAATGCCAGCTCCTTTAAATCAATTGTAAAGCAACTTTGAAATATATAATACATCAATATAAACTGTAGTCACTTTTCTGTGCAGTTGATCTGGAAAATATGTCTTCTGTCCAACTGGAACTTTGTACCCATTGGTTAACTTCTCCCAACCCACCTCCCCCAGCCTGTGTTAACCCCTGTTCTAGTCTCCACTTCTATAAGTTTGAATTGTTTAGAGTCCATATATTAATGAGATCATGCTCTATTTATCTTTCTTTACATGTGCACACTTATGACCTTCTGTTCCACAGGGTTATAAAACAGTCCAGAAGTACCCCACTTTCAAATCCTGCCTGAAAAAAGAACTTCACAGCAGATAAGTATGTTAATTTCTGTTTGTCTGATTTGTGTAGTAACAATAAAGGAAGGACCATAGTTTATTTTTCTATTGTATCATTTAGGAAATAGCTGAAAGAAATAGAATTCTCATTTCTAATTTTTTTAAAGATTTATTTATTTATTTGAGAGGAAAAGTTACAGACAGAGGGTGGGAGAGACAAGTCTTCCATCTGCTGATTCACTCCCCAAATGGTTGGGGCTGGGCCAATCCAAAGCCAGGAGCCAGGAGCCAGGAGCTTCTGGGTCTCCCACAAGGGTGCAGGGGCCCAAGCACTTTGACTATCTTCCACTGCTCTCCCAGACCCTTAGAAGGGAGCTGAATTGGAAGTAGGGCAGCCAGGACTCGAACTGGCATCCATATGGGATGCCCACACTGCAGATGGAGGCTTAGCTTACCACACACAGCACCAGACCCTCTAAATAGTTTTAGGGCATTATAGTATCTTGATTGAAAAATTCTATGTTGAACTTGAAATTTTATAGCTGAGCCAGGTACACTATAATAAATTCAAATTGTACTCTAGGTACATTATACCTATTTATTATATATAGATATATATTTATTATAGGTACATTATAATAAATCCAAATTGTAAACTAGGGTCATTAGTTTTGCAGAATATTTGTTACTATATTTGGGGGGTCATAATTTGGAAAATCTGCTATAAAAGTGGCAGCTAATATTTTTAGATTTTACTGCCTGGAACTATATTAAGTGTTCTTCCAGATGTAGTATATCATAAAATTCTCAAAGTGTGATATCCCATTTAATCACAGAGAAAATCAAAGTGTAGCAAGTAACTTGCCCAAGGTAACTTCATAGTAAGTGGCAAACCAGAATTTTAGCTTCATTCTGTTCGATGGCAAAACTATCTTATTTATTTTCTACTACACTATCACCATAGAATGCAATAGTTGAGGAAGATTCAGGACAGACCTTGAATTTGTATTGACCCAAAGGAATATCTTGGACCTGTTGCTAATCTTCCAAGATAGGCTTATTTTTCCTCTTTTTTATCTGTAGCGGCCGGCACCGTGGCTCACTAGGCTAATCCTCCACCTAGCGGCACCGGCACACGGGGTTCTAGTCCCGGTTGGGGCGCCGGATTCTGTCCTGGTTGCCCCTCTTCCAGTCCAGCTCTCTGCTGTGGCCAGGGAGTGCAGTGGAGGATGGCCCAGGTGCTTGGGCCCTGCACCCCATGGGAGACCAGGAAAAGCACCTGACTCCTGGCTCCTGCCATCGGATCAGCGCGGTGCGCCGGCCACAGCACGCCGGCCGCAGCGCGCCGGCCGCGGCGGCCATTGGAGGGTGAATCAACGGCAAAAGGAAGACCTTTCTCTCTGTCTTTCTCTCACACTGTCCACTCTGCCTGTCAAAAAAAAAAATTAAAAAAAAATATATCTGTAGCTATAAAATTTTGGTCAATCATGGGTTCTAATCAGAGTTCAAAGATGGGAGTTTTGTTGTTTATTTATAAGTGTGTATTTTGCTGTTTTTCTCAAGCTCGAAACACATATATTCATGTTCCTTAAAGCGGTTCTACAGGATATTCATGCATATTTTTCTTGAGGAAAAAAACCTCAAGTTTGAGAAATTTTATAAGTTTCTTCCCCGTAGGACTTTTCTTTCTAAAAGGAAACTGCAATATTCATAATTTTGCAAAACTTAAGATCTAGTGTTCTTTGGAAACCACTTCAGGAAATTCTGGTCTAAAATGTTTAGAGATAAGAAGTCTTATTCTGTTGATAGGGCTGGCTGGTGAAAGAAGTCAGCTCTTCCAAATCTCTGTCTTTAAGGAACTTTATGTGCCTCATGAGAACTTTAAACTACACACTGAATTAAAAGGAGCATCTCATTTCTATTGTCTGTTTAGGTAATGTTCCCCAACCACATATAATGGGATTTCAGTGACACTAATGTTTATGTAACAATGCACAGGATTCTAGTATAGACCCTTCTAAGAGTAAGGATTACACAAATTACTAAACAAACTGTACTTTTTAATTAAGAGAAATTTTTGTGATTAAGTCTTTGTTTCTTATGTCTTATAGAAGGTGTTTTGGGTGTTCTGCAGTTTCATATTATAAGAATTTTGATTTAAGCTATCACCCCTGAGTTATATCCTAAATTAATATTGGTTTTGTATTATTGTGTTTTTTTAACTTCTAGAGCAAAATTTAAAGGATTACTATCTATGTGACATACGCAAGAAGCAAAAATTTCAGGAAGTGGAAGCAGTTATGAGATCAGAACATGTAGAAAATGAAGGAAAAGTTGAAACACAATGAAATTTATATTTTCTTCTTGAGCTATGAAACATAAAACAGATTAAAATGTGTCTTACTACAAATGTTACATACATATAATCAAGTTGAGCTTTTGCATTGATTTACAGAACTCTGTACTTTTTCATTCCCTTCAGAAGTATATGGATACTTCTAAGACTATATAAGATGTATTTAAATATTTTTTATTTATTTGAAATTTGCCTCATATCAAAATAATTTATTACCCTGAATTGAAGATCACGTAAAAATGAACAATGCATTTTCTTTGATTTTGAGCTGTGTAACTTATTTTCAGAAAATGAATATTGCTTCAGGTTTATCTTAGAACCATTAGAATTGTTAGTAAGTCTATTATTTATAAGGTTTTTAATTATATTGAAATAATTCTGGAAAACATAAATTAAGCTACTAAATAATATGATGGTTTACAGAGTACTTTTAACTTTTAAAAGTACTTAATTACCATTTAGATTGACTTGTGTAAAGTTTTTTAAATTTTTGTTCATTTACCAAAGTCAACAGAATGTCTGGTATTCTTTTATGTATATGGTAAAGATATTTAAAATGTAGGATTTTTTTTCCTCTCCAAAAAAGTCATATATTGACGCTAGCTGCAGCTGCTGTTGTAATAGTGTATTGTCTTCAGCATGATGCTGCTCCTGACTGAAGGTGGAATTTGTTAATAACACTAGGAAAAATGTTTTACAGCTTTGTAACATATTGCTTATTGTTATATTTCTGTAGTGTCAAAATAACTGTTATAGAAGACTAATATAAAATGGTTTAGAACACTGATGTACATCATAGGTAGAAGCTAATGTTTTGTTTCTTGGAAAAGGACCACATGCAAGTGATGCTGAATAGTCAGTCATAATTAATAACTAATAATATAGTCTACTGATTCAAAAGAATATGTCTTAATAGGGAAAATAAAAACTTTCTGTTGAAAAGTAACAAAATTAGAATTTCAAATGGAGCTATACTTTGTTATTACTAAATAGGAATTTGCTCAGTTAAGAATGTTTAGTTTATGCAAGGATAGTATACAAAAATAGACTAGTGATTTAAATTAATATATTTATTTACTGCATGTGGAAGGTAAGTTCATTTATTCCTAAGACATATTTATTATAAGTTACATACACTCCAACCATTACCTTGCTTTCACATTTGAAATTAGGAAACACTGACTTTGTTTTTTAAAGTTACTCAATGTGAAATTGATCTGCATTAGTTTATTTATAAAAGTAAAGTTATTTATAAGAAAATGTTGTATTACTATTGATTTTTTATTTGTTAGACTTTTTAGATTCTTTCCCTGGTATTATTTATTATACTAACATATACAAACATTCATAAATTTTGGAATCCCATATAGTATGATAATTTAATTTCACATGCTTTAAAGGCCAATTCAGTTGACAATTGATGAAATAGAAATGCCTGCCCATTCATATAGTGTGCTGAACTCTATTTTACCTTACAATGAATGTTCTCAATATTATTTGATATCTAAAATTTTTAATACTATTTAATTTTTAATCCTTGACTGTATGTTATATTATTTTGCATACTTGGAAAGTCTTGTAAATACAGATCAAAAATTGAATTAGCCCATTAAAATTATTTATAATTCTGCCTCTCCCAAGGAAAAATATGAAACTATATATATACACTCATTGTTCTTTATTGCTTATCAGAATGCATACATGACTATCTGTTTATAAGGCTACAGTATAATATTAAAGCGAGAATAAATAAAATACTCTGATCAATCAAAATGGAAAAATAGCTAAATTAGTGATTCCTTTTATATTATCATGCTGGAACTTTATCATTTATAAAATGAGAGATAAAAGTATTTCACTGGATTGTTGTTTACATCAATTTTAAATTTTTAAATTTTTTAAAAATAATTTACTGACTCCATGTATGTAATTATTTTCACTACCTCCTTCTATAAATTATTCTTTGGAAAGATTAAGTTATACATGTAATTTCAGTGTAAATTTTTACAGAAATCCTATGTGACAAATAGTTTATGGTACTTGTCAGAATCATTTCACAGTAAGAAATTCATGTAACTAAAGTTCCAATTTATTGCTCTTATAAATTATAAAGCAACCTGTCTTAGATTCTTATCTTAAAATAAATATAAGTACCCTTGAACCAAGAAACATTGTACTTTGCTTTTATATATTGATGTCTTTCTGAAAAATGCCACCTCCAAACTTGGGAAGTCTGTATGGATTATCAAATTCCATTGATCATATACCCTCTGCCATGGCAATACATGCCAATGAAACTGGTGTCATCAACAGTTGTCAGTAAGTAAATCCCAGCGCCAGAAAGCCTTTCAGAGTGTATCTAGGATTCCTGTAGTATACAGCTGTGGTCAGTGGTACTGGAAAGTCTCAGAAAAATCTACATGGGACTAAATGTAGTATCAGATTGCTTCAGAAAAATGATTGTTTAAATGGCTTAAAACAATTGACCCAAAACTATAGAAGTCCCTGTGTTACTGATGGTATTTTGTAAGCATAGAATTACTAAGACAATGCCTAGAAACTTTCCAGTTTTCTAAGTAAATTAGTTATTATCCTACTTCTTATGGATATATGATAAACACTTTTTAAAAAGTAATTTTACTTCCAAAGGATATAAAATATGAATTGTACACTATTTCAAGTAATAAAATAAAAATTTGAAATGATAAGAAAGAAGTTTGTTTTCTTTTATTGGCAACACTATTTTTAACTTTCTTAGCTAATGAAATAATAGTACATTTTGGGAGTTGGTGTTGTGCAGCAGGTTAAGCCACTGTTCACAATGCCGGCATCCCATTTGGGTGCCAGTTCAAGTCCTGGCTGCTGCACTTCCCATCCAGCTCCCTGCTAATGTGCCTGAAAATCAGTATAAAATGGCCTAACTAGTTGGGCCCTTGCCAGCCACATGGGAGACAAGGGTGGAGTTCCAGGCTCCTGGTTTTGGCCTGCCCCAGCCCTTGCCATTGCAGCCATAGGGGGAGTAAACCAGTGGACAGAAGACTCTCTGTTTCTCTGTCTCTCTCCCTTTCTCTATAGCTCTTCTTTTCAAATAAATAAATAAATCTTTTTAAAAAATGATGATACACATCTTAGATTCTATGGTTTATTATCTTACAATTATCTTTGTAGTACAGTTAGTATTTTTGGCACACATCTTAAAAATTGAGTACTATGCATATAATTGTGACATATGCATATGAATATACAATGCTCAGAGAAAGTAAAAATACTATTCTAAAAGCTGCGGCACAGCAGATAGAGCCGCCACCTGTGATGCCAGCATCCTGCGTGGGCACTGATTCATATCCTGGCTGCTCTACTTGCTATACAGCTCCCTGCTAATGGCCTGGGAAAGCAGCAGAGGATGGCCCAAACGATTGGGACCCTGCATCCAGGTGAGAGATCTAGAAGCTTCTGGCTCTTGGCTTCAGCCTGGCTCCACCCTGGCCATGGCAGCCATCTAGTAAGATAACCATTAGATGGAAGAGCTCTCTCTGTCTCTGACTCTCCAAGTTTCCCTTTCAAATAAATAAATAAATCTTTTGAAGAAAATATGCTTATATCAATATATTAATTTAATTTTTAGACTGTTAATTGTTGGCTTCCTACAATGAAGGGTAAGTATTTGGTTTTCTTATACTAACCCCATCCTAGACACCAGTTACATATTTCTCCTTCCCCATCTTTTCAGTATAGGCACAATGTCAGTTAAATCAATTACCATAGATTTAATTATTATTATATTTCCTTCTTTATGCATCTACCTAGCTTTCCTAAAGCTAATAATTTTCTCCTTTACAGCTTACTTTTTATGAACTTTTCACTTATCTATCACTAATAGATACCAGGCTTGTCTCCTGAACTGTACATATATTATTAATACACTTGTGTGAACACATTTGAACACATCTAGTAACATGTAAGTTCTTTATCATTTCAGAAATGCTTGCTGGAGCTTTTTGTCTTCCTGTACCATCTAGAAAGGTTGCTCTCTTGGCCTAGTGCAGAGCTGTCACTTTAGGGCCTTCCTCCTCTATCTCTTGAAGATTTCTCTTTGACCCCCTCCATCTCTCAAGTCATCTTTTTTTTTTTTTTTAAGATTTTATTTATTTATTTGAAAGTCAGAGTTACACAGAGAGAGGAGAGGCGGGGGGCGGGGTGGGGTGCGGCGGTGTCCTCCATCCACTGGTTCACTTTCCAGATGGCCACAATGGCCCAGAGCTGCACCAATCCAAAGCCAGGAGCCAGGAGCTTCTTCCAGCAGGGGCCCAGGGACTTGGGCCCTCCTCTACTGCTTTCCCAGGCCATAGCAGAGAGCTGGATTGGAAGAGGAGCAGCCAGGACTAGAAACTGCACTCATATGGGATGCCTGCGCTCCAGGCCAGGCATTAACCCACTATACCACTGTGCCGGCCCCCAGGTCGTCTTTCTTATCTTTTTAATTTTTTTTTTTTTTTTTTTTTGGAGTGCAATACAGTCTTGCCTGTTTCCTGAGGAAGGCTGCATGGTAAATACATTTTTGAAATTTTGTATACCAAAAAGTGGCTTTATTCTGCCCTCATTTTTGGGTAAGTTTGTCCAAGATGGCAATCTAGAATGGCTCAATCTTTCCTCAGAATTTTGAATGCACTGCCCCACTCTCTTCCAGCTTTCAATGTAGTTCTCATGAAATGAGATGCCATTCTCATTCCTCATCTTTTTTTTTTTTTTTTCTCTTTGGAAGTTAATAGAATCTTCTCTTTGTTCCGTAGTACCTTAAAATTTCAAATTGATGTTTCTTGATTAAGGTCCTTGCTTGTGGCAAGCACTCAATAGTTCTTTCACTCTAAAAACTCATGGCATTCAGTTCTGTGGAGTGAAAAAAAACTGTAATTATTTCTTTGAGAACCTCTGCCCTTTTATTTTCTGTCTAGTTTTTCTGGTTTTTCTATTATTTGGATATTGAATTTCTTATACTCAGCCTGTGAGTTTTCTTTTCTCTACTGTGCATCTCTTTGTCTTTTGTACTTTTTAAAGATTTCCTCTCTTTGTTTACCATCTATTGAGTTTTTAAACATTTTCTCTCAATTTTCCTTTTTTTATGACTCACATTCACTCCGCTCCTATTCTCCCCATATGAACAGCCTTTGTTGGTTAAAATGTGAAATGGAGGACAGGAGGGGATGTGACAGCTCCTGCTCCCAGGGTGGCATCTCTAGACTTTGTCACTGACCTCCAAAAGCCATTGTCTCATATTCTTGTTTCATATCCTCAGGATCTTTTATTCTCTCTGATTATTTAATGAATTTCTTGGAAATTTTCTTTTGCTCCCTTCATTGTCCAGGGATAATTCATTCCCTTGTTCCTTTTATTGTGTTTGTGTTTTGGGTCTCTGATATATTAGAGGTTTTTCTCAAATATCTGTTATGTGTTCATATTTAAAAATAAATAGGAAGCTGTGTGTGAATGGGATGATGAGTTTCCCTCTCTGCTTTTCTGGCTGGGCAGCTTCAACATGGGAACCTTGACTATCAGAAGTGACAGCAGAGTTAGACAGTGAGAGAGAGACAGAGAGAAAGGTCTTCCTTCCGTTGGTTCACCCCGCAAATGGCCGCTACGGCTGGTGCGCTGCGCCGATCCAAAGCCAGGAGCCAGGTGCTTCCTCCTGGTCTCCATGCAGGTGCAGGGCCCAAGGACTTGGGCCATCCTCCACTGCCACAGCAGAGAGCTGGACTGGAAGAGGAGCAACTTGGCGCCCCAACTGTGGCTAGAACCCGGGGTGCCGGCACCATAGGCGGAGGATTAGCCAAGTGAGCCACGGTGCCGGCCTGCTGCCACTTTTTAAGTGCTGAGTATAGGAAAGAGGTATTTAATCCCTTTCTTTTGAACCCCAACTTCAGCTGTGTTGTCCTCCCTGTGGATTGAAGAATTCCCTGCTGGTATATGTGGGAGAGGGGAGGAGGAAGAGGCAGATAGGATCCTGAAATCCAAATGCTTCCTAAACAGAATTTCAGCCAATCAGTGCTATTTACAGTGCAAGCTCCAGAGGTCCACGTTCCCTTCACTTCCTAAGTCTTGCAAGTACTTTGCAGTGTGGATCGGCCCCTTTCAGGCTGCACCCAGTTGCAGGCATTTAAGTTCTCTTTGGTCTATAAGTTAATTACCATATGTTGATTATTTAAACTTACATTTATTTACTTATTAATATTTGAGAGGAAGAGAGAGATAGCAACAGACAGCTCCCATCCCCAGACACCCACAATAGCTGAGGTTTGGCCAAGCCAAAGCTGGGAGCCCAGAACTCAATCCAGGTTTCCTACGTGGGTGGTGGGGACCCAAATATAGGAAGCATCACCTGATGGGCCCATGGTGTGTACAAGCAGGAATCTAGAAAATGAATCAGAAGCTGAGCTAAAACTCAAATCCAGGTACTCCTGATATGGGATGCTGGCAAAACCAATGTGCCAAATGCCTGCCCCCAAATTTAAAAATTTAGTTCCTGTACTTTATTTTCAGGTTTCGTTGTCCCTAAGAAAGCTTTACTTTAAAAGCAAATCCTATTCTTTATATTTTAATTTTCAAGAAGGAAGGGACGGTGGTGGAGAATATATCCAACACAACATGTAAACTCTGTATTTAGAATATATGTGGGAATACTCACAAGGAAGTCAAGAACGATAGCACTTGAAGATGGGGTCCATAGTTATGTTTACTGGGGTGTTATTGCACTACCTGAATGTCTTCAGCATGTGCTTGTTTCCTTTTTTCAAGAAAACCATGATTTGCTTTTGTGAAATTATTTGAGTCAGAGAGAGAGAGAGCAAACTCCCATCCTCAGTTCACTCCCCAAATGCCTACCACAGCCCCAGGCTGGGCTGGAGGTCAAACCTAGAGCCTGAAACTCAGTCCAGGTCTCCCAGTGTGAGTGGCAGGACCCCAGTTACTTTAGCCCTCACTGCTACCTCCCAAAGGATCTGCATTAAGAAGCTAAAGTCAAGAGTGGGAGGCAGATTCAAATTCAGGTGTTCCAACATGGGACATGTGCATCTTCACCACTAGGTCAAACACTCACCCCCAAAAGCATTTTTTTTTTTAATTTACAGTCTCAGTATGGGAGAAGTGGGAACAAATCATGCATGGATCTCATCATC